TTAAAGTAGTGAATCTATTGTATTTTTGTCTTCTTAATACTATACACAAATTTTGAATTTTAATTAATGAATTAAAATTTTAACATGTTATTTTATGTAATTATTTTAACATGCACTTTAATATGTAATTATCAACATACAAACTAAATCTATTGAAAGTATGACTAATAACACTAGCACATTTTTTAAAATATATTACTGAAAATTTTTAAAATAAAAAATATTCTTTTATCTATGTTTTGATTGTTTATTTTATTATGTAAATCAAATACGTTTAAAAGACTTGAAAAACAAAAAATTTAACCAATTCCTAAAATATTTATCAAGATTTAAAATTTAATTCAAAACTTGTGATAATTGTATTTTAGGTTAATGATGTATGTCACTAAATATATATAATATGTGACTAAATTAAAGTTTGATCTTAAAAATACATAAATTAAATAGATAAAAATAAAATTAATAATTAAATTTAAGGTATTGCAAATGCCATCATAGTTTTTGATATTGCTACTACAACTCACTATCTACTCTATGCCACTCATTATCTTTGTCAATGCTAAATAAAAAAGTAGGGCTTGTTTATTTATATACAAATATATATAATAAAATATTTGGTAAAAAAATCACTTTTGTTAATCTTTTGATTATTTTTTATTAAAATTAAATTTACTTTCAATATATTTTGAATATATATATATATATATATATTCACACACAAATTTTTTAACTAGAATAAAAATACACTAAAGAATTATATCCAATGGATGCAAGTTTTGGTTAAAGTAGCAAAAATTATAATGGCATGGTGAGTAGCAAGTTATTGTGGCAATTGCAAAAATTATGATAGCATGTGGTGGATGAAAACTTGTAGTGGCATTATCAATATCTAAATTTATATATATATATATATATATATACATATAGATATAATTATATAAAATTACTTTACTTACAGAATAATTAAAAAATAAATCATAAAAAATTAAAAATTTGTATTAAAGGTTGTAGATGTTGATGACCATTCATATTTTAAAACTGAAAATGAAAGAAAAAGAAAATAAAATTTAGGTTTATAAATACTAGAACTTATGCATACATCACAGAATCTGAATATTTTCTATGAAGTATCAGTTTTCCCATCAAATAGAGCTCTCAATAATGAGTAGTGATTAAATATTATTGTATCAATCATATCTTACATAATGGAAATACTATGAGTATAATGTGATTAAGTAGAATTCTTTGTACTCAACTAAAAATCTATTTATTTATTTAAATAAAATATGATAATATAGAAGCTTATTTTAATTTATTCATATTACTTTCTGCAATTAAACTTGTAAATAAAATTTGAAGGAAAATAAATTGTTATTAAAAACTATATTTTTTGCTGTATAGTTTCTCATTTTTCTTTTTGCAAAAATTATTGATATTCTGAAAAAAAAAAAAAAAAAAAAAAAAAAAAACTACATATTTCATATACTGTATGTAGGTATTTTGATGACTTGGAACTGTGAATCCTTCTTATTAATAATTTTTGGTAATAATGTTTTTCCAAAGCCACTGAAAGAAATTCCATTGAGGTACAGATAAGTCTAATGAAATTTTGCATAAAATTTTCATGTTTATTTATTTATTAATCCATGAAAATAATAACAACCTTTTTTCCCAGTAAATTTGTACTTAAAATAAAATAAAATAAAATAATCTAATGAAACCATTTAAATTTCCCACTTCAAAGGCCTCATAGTAAGGTCGCAAAAGAAAAAAGAAAAAAGAAATAGTAAGAACCATTTCGTTACTTTGTTATTCGAAATGATGTCAATAAAAAAACACAGCACCAAAAATATAAAAAAATAAATAAAAAATAAAAAACCGAATATAACAAACTGAGATGCAAAAATGCATCCAGTCAGCTCACAAGTGGTGCAAAACAGAGTTGGGTTAGTCCAGAGGAAAAATAAAATAAAATAAAATAAATAACAAAAAAAATAAAAACACCAAAACAACAAAACAACCCTCTCCCCCTCAAACAATCAAAGACCCTCCCTCAACAATATACCTAAAGCACCGCACCGCACCGCACTGCACCACAGATATTTCCCGTTCACACGGCGCACAGAGAGACAGAGATAGAAATAGATAAAGAGAGAGAGTGCAAGTGATACCCCCACCACCACCACGATGCCAGCTCCCCAACCAACCAACCAATCTGCTTCTTATTCTTCCACGCAAAAACCCCCCCCCCCCCAATCTCACAAGTCAGTCACTGTTCTGTGTGGATTGGATGCCCCATCATCCATCCACTTATGTACCCATCCATGAAGTCATCCATCTACTCACCCATCCATCCATCCGCGGGCAGAGGGAGAAAACCCACCGAACCGGGCGGGCAGCAGGGGCAGCAAGCAGGGGCATGGGGGAGGTGGAGGCTGGTGGAGGGAGGTATTAGTGGAGGGTGGTACTGGTGGAGAAGGTGATGGTGCTTGCTCTATGCTTGCTTTGCTTCAGGGACAGGGAGGAAGGGTGGAGGCGTTGCTTATTGTCAACTCCGCGGGAAACCTGTTAGTGGCAAAGCAAAAGCCCATTTTGTGCCTCCCTTCCCTTATTACTCTCTTCTCTCCATCTCTCCATCTCTCGCTGTCTGTGTGTGTTGCTTGCCACGCTTGGCAAGCTTCTTCTCTTCCTCTTCCTCCCTGTTGCTGTTGTGTACTGTACTTTCTCTGGACTTGCAGAGAGGGAGGGAGGGAGGGGCTGCATTCACTCTGAACGGATGTACCGTCGTCCTGCTTGCCTCCCTTCTCCACCTCCTCCTCCTCCTCCGCTCATGACCCCACCCCACCCCCACCCTCCCTCCCTTGCCAACTATCCCCTAAGAGGGAAGCGTAAGATTTCGAGTATTCCGAATTCGAGTAGAATTTAGCCGTGGCTGTTGTCTGAGGGGCACCTGGGACAAGGCAGTTCTGGGAATCCTTTTTTGTATTTTCATGTATAAGAAAATGAAAGAAAAATAGGGTAAAACATTTACTACTGTCAGACACCCTCAGCACCCTATCTTTCTGGAATTTCCCTGTGAAATTTATTCATCCCATGTGTGACTTTGTACAGGGATTTGTAAAAAGAGAATATAATAATAATAATAATAATAATAATAACAACAATAACAGTGCAAAAGGTGAGGAAACTTGAGCTATATAATATTAATAATAACATCAAAAAAAAATTAAGCAGGTAAAAATACAAATTGCGTGAACGATGAGTAAAGGATTTTTCTGGGAGAATCCCCTTTCAAACTGTTGGAACAGCAAGCGCATCCCCTTCGTTGAGCACTTCGTTATATATGTTGGAAAATTACAACACATTGGGTTGTGGTGTTGCAGCGCAGGAAGGCAATCAACGTCGGAGCCCAAAGCGCCCCATTAACTTTGCCTTCTGTGAACTGTTCATACCAGAGAGAGAGAGAGAAAGAGAGAGTCCCCCACCACTGTTCACAGACGAGGCATCTTGAGGCGAAAGCACTGGATTCAACTCAAGAGTCAAGGCTGCAAAGTATGAGGATCAGATTGATTGGTTTCATGGTCAGAGGTGGTCCTTAAAGTGATGCACTGTCAATCGCTTGCTCCTAGAGGTGACAATATTGCTGCAAGTGTGACAGGATATCAGGCTGCCAGTTGATGCAACGTGATGGCGTCTCACTCAAATTCTAGTCTGCAGTTATACTAGTGATAGTGATTCCTCAGAAATCATTATGGAAGACAGATTATTGTAGCTACAAGCTATAAACTGTTCGTGGCTGAAGTGTGTTAAGTTGACGTCGACATTGTGGCCATCAGACACACCCAAATTTTGTGTGGATTGCACTTGGTCCTAGAGGAGAAGGGAATAGCAGCGGAATTATTTTAGGGTTCGGAGAGTGCAATCTGTAGTGCCCACTTATTTTATTCCATCTCCATCACTTTGCCTACAATGGGTGCGAGCGACACCACAGGACCTACTGTTTATTGAATTCCGACCTGCTTTGCTACAACACCTTGAATGCGTGGCCGATGAATGTTGCACTCGGCGTATGATTGCGAGTTGAGTTCGGTGAGGAGACGGTCAGAGATCTCCCACTCCTCCAGCATTTCAATATTCCAGCATACAGGGGTCATGTGGAATTTAGTGATACCTTGATCCTGAGCCAGGAGATTCTCCATTCTTTGTTGTGCATTTTGTTCATAAACTCCAGCATGCGATTCAACTGGGAGTGCAGGCTGGGACTGTCAGGTGCAGGGATTTCCGGATACACAGGGTTCAGGAAAGTCCCTGTTGTTAGTTGAAATGTAGGAATGTGCCTGACATAAGAAGTATTTTCCAGAGTTCTCGACAGAAATCATGTTTGATGAATGTGTACAGTTCGGAATCGACATTCAAGCCGATTAAAAAGTTTAAATGCTCCGTAGCTGGAATGTTTCTGAGCAGACGTGCACGTTTTTGTGATTGATGGAACCCCCTTCATTGCCAGCTTTCAGAGCTGAAAATTACATGACGGGCGAATAAGATTACTTTACTACAAGGCATTCACTGAGTGGTACAAAGTTGTCATGAAATGAATTTTAGTCGTCATGAACAGCAGTTCGCACAAGCGTATGACTGCAGGCACTATGAGACTCCAAGCATGGACGCAGGGCAGCCTGTGCCAAAGATGCAGTGAATGGAGGACAATTTTTTTAGAGTGATCTCATCGAGTTAGTGACGATCTTAGGACAAACGAGTCCTCAAACAAGCTCAAAAACTACTGGAAGTGCGTTTCCTGCGTCACCAGAGTCATTCAACACCCTTCTCCAAGCATTTGTTCCATAACATTTACGACAGGGCACAGAAATGACAAAGAATATGAGCAGAGAAAGTTATTTTCCTCTGACTGCAACTGCAAGCGCTGGTTCACATGCGTGCTACTTGCAGAAATCGAACCTTAGATCGACTTGAAAAACACACTACTGCAGTGACAATTTGCACAGGCTGAATTCTTGTGAGAATAGAATAAGATGAAGGAAATTAAATAATTGTTCACATTAAACCATCGTTCGAATCGCAAAGCATCCGGCAATGAAAGCAAGCAAGAGGTGTGATCTCTTCTTTACAATCTCTCTTTCATCCAGCGCTTAAGAGTGGACAATTCTTCAGCATCGATGCTGTGCACAAGATCTGGAATGGCCTGCACGTCATCCCAAGGTCATTATGTCCATGAGCAATACAAACACATACATATATACAAAAACAAGCAGATGCGAGTTTCGCAAAATCAACAACTCGGAAAGAACAGTGTAAGACCGTGGAGCAGCCAGGAAAAGTACAAACGGTTTAAACCTGAAATTCACACTTCACGTCGGCACGAGCCAAAAATGGAGGGCCTGCCTGCCCAGCGCTGAACTCCACAACTTTATCGTCTAATCCGTGTTGCCATAAAACTGGTGTCTGATCCACAAAAACAACAGCACTCAAAAACATAATTCATTTACGAAAAAACAATAGAATATGTTGGAACGTGACCGCTGGGATCAAAATTCCACCCAAATTAAGCTCAACACAGAGTTTCGTGCGATTGAACTACGGAATCATTCTGCTTATTCTAGATAACTCGCTGTGCATACAACAAAATCTGCGGTAAAAATTACAAGTACTGATTCAGACTCTTATATTGAAGAATGTAGACTGTACAGCCTTGAGCGATGCTTTGAGAGATAGCAAGAGAAATTAAGACCTGCTTGGCTGCAGAAGTAATCTTTGCAGCAAATGATTCTTTATCAAGTGCCACCCATCCACTAAAAACGGCAGCTCCGGCAAGTGTCTTGGGATACAGCATGGAACTAGCCAAGGCCAAGGCCCCTGTGTCATTGAAAGCCATATTTATGATCCCTTGAAATTTGTTATACAAAGCATAAATTGATTCAATGATGTGAAATTACAACGCAAAGACTTGCCTCCTTGGCTGAAGCCACACAAAAATATGCAATCGGCGCTAATTCCAGCAGCTACTTCCCTATCAATCATCTCATGTACTGATCGAACAGCTTTCAAGACATCCTCCTCCACATTTGGCGATTCCTACTCACATGATTACCTTCACCCGTCAGATATCCTACGATGCAAATTCAAAATCCTCCATAATGTGAATAAAAATGGTGATATGGTAGTTAAACTCATGAAAGCATGGAAAGGGAGGCATTCAGCAATTATCATCTGACAGCTCGAATACCATACTAAGGAAGAGGTTAAAAAATTCTGGAAGCAGCGTTGAGTTTGGTCATAGACGAACAATTCGTAAAAAAAAATACTAGAATGTGAAAAATGAGGGAAAACGACATAGAACACGTATACCCATTCTACATAGCGTAGAGACATTCGGGTTCATTATTCCATACAATTGTACTGAACGATCCTCCGGCAAGCCTTGATGCAGATGGTTGGCAACCACATACGATCAAGAGATCGCATTCTATGCATAGGGTGTTACAAAGAACAAAGACTTGTGGTTTAGAACGCGTTTTTTAAAACCAGCACCTAATCGAGTAATTAATCCAAGCATTGATAGTTTAAAATCAACAAAAAAAAGATAAAAGTGATGCTGAGGCTCACCGGGACGATAGGAATTTCCGGCAAATCAAACCAGGACGGCATTCGCATTCTACCTGCCCATCAAAATGCACACTCCCTTAAATCAATTTCCACACACTTCTTAAACTACCTCTGCATCCTTTCAGAAATGAATTCATTGATAAAGCACATCGTTCATTTTATTGCAATTCATATTGTGTAGTACTCTTGAGCATAACAGAAGACATGGCTTTAAAACACCACCAAGCGGGAAACTTGCACCACATTCTCAACATCATACAACTAGGACTGGCAAGGGACGAACTGATTACACGTCAGGTTACAGAGCTCCTGCGGAAAAGAATACATACTAAAACTTCTTTGCAGGTAATTTGCAGACTACCATGGAGTGTCTAGACCTGGTGTAATCGTAAACCGCCAATACACGCCTAGGATTCACAATGCCCTCTTCGCCAATCACACCAGGCGACAATTCACCCCCCATTACACGCAATCCACGCAAATTATAAGAGAAAACTTTGAGCATAATCATCCAAGATTGAACAGAGCGCACCATTGCAGCTAACTGGCTGGTTGGGAGCACTGGGAAATCGCCACTTAAAATCTGCGAACTCAGGGGATGTGAAGAAGGACGCAATGCCTTGATTCGCAGGGCCGGAGTCGCCCAAGCCGTGCAACCAAATGACAACCCTAGAAGCAGCCATGAACGATCCTCTTCCACAACACCGCCCCAAATACATTTACCTCCCTCAACGATCCAGCGCAACGTGTAGCGAGTTGCCCCGCCCCCCGCGCTGGCTATGGCGATGGCGGATTGCGAAGCCAGCCAGAGCCGACGCACGCACGCCGAGGAGCCCTACATCCGAGTCCCAATTAAGGTGTTGAACTCACACCACGTCTCCATAATCCACATCCTTGTCTCCTCCCTTGGTTAGGCGTGAAGCCAGGTCCCTGAATTTGAATTACATCCATCCAAACTGCATCCGAAGTTTATCCAAAGTTCATCGAACAGGAATTGCTTCTGCCACCACAGTTTGAACTATTATCACAATTTGTTCTCCACCACATATCATTATAGTCTTTGCTATTGCCATCACAACTTGTCACTCACTTGACATATTATTTAGTTTAATTATTTAAATATATAAAAAATGATAGTATATTTATTTTTAAATTTTCAAATAATATAAAAAATAATTATATTTTTTAAAAATAAAAATAATAAGAATAAGTTGTGGTGGCAATAGCAAAAATTATAGTGGAATTAGCAACACCATGTTTTCTTTGTAAAATCTTACAAAATATTTATTAATATCTTAATTATACAAAGCTTGATCTGGTGATTAGTTTTTATTTTCAATAAATAAACATGGGAGAATTCTAAAAGCTATCTTCTTTTGTATTTAATATCAATAATAATAAAAATAAAAACAAAAATTGATAATTGATAACAGGATTCAAAAAAATAAGAATTTCATATCCATCTATATATACATAGATATATATACATAAATATATATATGCTTTTGTTATGTAATTATAGTTAGATTTTTTCAAACTAATAATCATAAAATTTCTAATATAGGATATATTTTTTAAAATCTTATTATTAATCTTTATTAAATTTTATTTTAGAATTAATAATAATATTAAAATTTTAAAATCCAATCTAATATTATTCATCATACAATTTATTTTTTATTATTAATTTTTTAAAGAATAATAAAAAATTATAGTAAAATATTTCTTTAATTTATCTTTTTTAAAAAATTATTTGATGAAATATTGCAATAGATATTTCAAGGATTATCAAAGTGGTAAATTATTTAGTTTATAAATAATTATATATACTTATAGAAGTTTTAGAATTCAACATAGATGTGTAAATTATTTGCTATTGTTGTATGCTACGAGAAGTTTCTATCTAAGTAAGAATAATAAAATATAAGTTTTTTTCAAGGACAAGAACTTAAGAAAGATATATAAACAAGTGAAATAAGTATCAAAGAGAGATAATAAAATGATCATAAGAAAGTATGTATATTCAAAAGAAACTACAATGCCTATTGCCAAAAGACAAGAAAACTAGAGATCCTTGAAACTATATTAAAAACAAGAAAGAAATTAACAGGAGTAAAGAAGGCTTCACTCTTGCTTCTACATATACTATCTATGAAGGAGCTTTGTGACAAAATTCTATAAGACCTCCAACATATGTCCAATTTGTAAAGCAAAAATATTAAAGCTTTTAAAAAACTTCTCTGTAAGATATTATTAAATTAATCTATTATTTTTTTACTTCTACCTATTCAAATTATCTAAGTAATTATTAGAATAAATATGTATATTTGTGAATTTCTCTCCCTTCTAGACACAAGTTTGGTGAAGAGTGATGATCATATATTGAAGAAGTCCAAAATATAACAAATTATATTTGTCACATACTCTATTTTTTTTTTCTCTTTAAAAGTAATTAATAGGTCTTTTTAGCCATCAATAATGTCTTATTCTAGGGCAAAAAGACTACCTTGATATTTGATCATTATTGAGGTTTTCATAACTTTCTTCAAATAAAACATTTATAATACCATTTGAGGTTGCTTCTATCTTCAATAAAACCATCAAATATTGGAAGTCTATTCTAAAGTTGTGATATCAAACGTGTTATATCTTGCTATTTATTTTAAAAAGAACATATGGCTTTTAAAGGTCTTCATTTCTATTAAATCATCATGAAGGTTGTGACAAGTGCAATATCTCATCTAATAAGTCAACAAATGATACTTCTTGAGTTGAATTTTCTAGCTATTATTTCTCCATCTTATTAGCGCTAGTAATATAAAGAAATCAAAATGAAGGATAGAAGATAGAATGCAATCTTCATTGAATATTCTTTCTTTTATAATAAAAAATTACTTGATTCTTTATCTTAATTTTAATAAATATCATTGATGAAAAGTTTCGACCTTTTCTCTTGCATTTATAAGATTCTTGCCCAGTTTCCATGTGTATTCATTGATATTATATCTATGCCAATGAAAAAAATATTCTAACCTATTTCAGCATTACATTGAGTCTAAGACCTCTTCTACATTAAATTCTTGATTATTATCTATTTCTATAGAAAAAAGTAGTATTTGTCTTTTTTTTCATAATATTCATTATTTCTTATGGCTCAAAGAGAGACTCATAAAACATGAAATGGATCTTTATAGACTTTGATAAGTATAAACAATATGCAAGTAGACTAATTTATTCACAAATAGAAAATAATTAAAGTCTATGATAATCCAACTTCTCACAAAGGCACTAGTTTTGATATTACAATGAAATAATCATATCTTATTGCCAAAGTAGAATTAAGGTTATTCCTTGTGATAAGCATTTGCATTGAACTTTTGTCATTCTTGAGCCTCATTTGATTCTACCTTTATTGTTACATATAGCTCTAATAAATGTTTTGCCAAATCTTTTGTTGCACAATTATCAACTTTTAAAATGCCAAAAGTATCAAGCTATAAATGATAACTATAATTAGTATAAAAAGATATTTATTAAAAAAAAGAATGTATCATATTATTATAAAAAAAACTCTTCTACTGGCAATAGACTTATCCAATCATTTTGGTGGTAGTTGATAGTATATTGCAAATATTACTTCAAAATTTGATTCATTTGTTTTGTTTCTCTATCAGTTTGAAGATGAAAAGCTAAAAATAATTTTACATCTATCTTAAATATTTTTAAAAGGATTCTCCAACATCTTGATACAAACTAGGTTCCTCTATTGGATATAATATTCCTTCACAATCCATGATAGCAATAGATATTGTAAAGAAATAAGGTAGTTATTTCTTTACTAGTGATAGATACTATACATAGTACAAAATGTGCTATCTTATTGAAATAATCTACTATCACAACTATAAAATCATAGAAACTTGATGTTGAAAGATATGTGATAAAATCTATAGAAATAGAGGACCATGGCTGTGCTAGTACAAGTAGTCGTTATAATAGTCTGTAAGGTTGATGACAAGGAATTTTTTCATCTTAAATAAATATCATATGATTATATAAAGCCTTTGACTGCCTTTCATATTTCAAGCCATTAAAGATCTCTTAAGATTAATTCCAATGTCTTTTTATATCTAAAAAATGATACTATTAAAAAATTATTGCAAGTTTAAAGAATTTGTAATTGTATTTCATCATTTAGAATATATAAGCACCTCTTAAAATTTAATGGATTATTCTTGAATTTAAACTTAAAAATATCATAAGTTTTAAAGAATTATTCTTAATATCATAAATAAGAGGATCAAAGAACATATTTGATTGAACTTGCTTAAGAAAAGTGGAATCAATAGTCAGTATTGTTTTATTACTTAAAGATGAAATTGCTCTAGCTTTAAGAGAATTTTCCTTTGTTGATCAAAAGCTATATCTTCTTCTTTTGATAAAAAATAAGAACGTCTAGAAAAGACATTTTATAAACTTTATTGATTTTTTGGCTAATAAATGATCTTAAATTTGAATCTTAATAAAGACATATTCTAACAAACTTGGCACCAATTTAAAACATGTGCAAACATAAAATACTTGAGGTTCTTGTAATATATATATATAATGACTAGATTAAAAGTATTTTTTAAATAATAATAATATTTTTGAAATGAATCTATAATTGTCATAAGTTCTTTATTGTAGATCTTGTAGTTAATCTTGATTGTTGAAAAAAAATTAAATAAAAAGCTATAACATGAAGTTTATCATTTACTTTTATTTATGTTATCAAAAATAAAATTTGATATATTTATTCCTATAAAAAATGGTTTAAAAAAGTTGTTATAATATAAGATTAATAAAAAATCAAAGATTATCTTTAAAGCTTCAAATGCTAATTTTGCTTCTTGATTTCATTCAAGTTTTTCTTTAAAACTTAAACATATAAGTAGAACTATAACTTGAGAGAAGTTCTTAATGAATATTTAATAAAAATTTGTAAATTCTAAAAAATATTGGATATCTCTTATTGTTTTTGAGATCTTCCAATTTATGATGGTTTGAACTTTTTTAAGATTCATCATAAGTAATAAGCAATCAACTTAAGTAGTGTATAATGCACATTTTTCTATCTTAGCACTGAGTCTTGCATCTCTTAGTTTTTGTAATACATGAAAAATATGAAATTTATGTTTTTTTGTATTCTTTGAGTAGATTAAGAAGTTATCTAGATAACAAACAATAAAATTGTTCAAAAATTTTCAAAAGATATCATTCATCAAATGTTGAAAAGTTGATGGAGCATTTATAAGTCCAAAAGTCATGATATTATATTCAAAATTTCCATACTTGATTCAAAATATAATTTTTTATTTATCTCCTTCTTTAATATATACCAAATTATATGCTCTTTATAGATCTATTTTTATATAGATCTTTGATTGATTTAATTGATCAAAAATTCTAGATATAAAAGATATAAAATACTTATTTTTAATGGTAATATTCTTGAGTCTTTGATAATTGACATACATAGACAATAATTTTTATTTTTTCTTTACAAATAAGATTGGAGGTCCTACTAAAAATTTGGAGTGGCATATGAAATTCTTAATTAAGTTCTCTTCAATATATTCTTTGATTTCAATCAACTAATTTTGTAATAAATTATACATTGGTCTTAATGGCACTTGAGCTTTCTCTTGAAGGTCAATTGAATAGTCATAAGAACGATATTTTAGAAAAAGATTTACATCATTTTTTCAAAAACATCTTGATAATTTTGATATTGACTTAGAACACCATTTAAAGTCTTTCTACCATACAAAACAAGTGTAGCATAAATAATATAAGAATTTTTTTTTTAATGGCATACAAGAAAGCT